ACACAATGTGAAACATCAAATGAGATTAACGAGGCGCGTGTCCCTTGTTTTATTGCTACAATAACATCCAATTTACACCTTCAACTTTGTACACGCGTCAGACTATACAATAACACGCGCCAGAATATACAATCATTGTAAATAGTGAACACCTGTTGAAAACTCAAGATTGTCATTAATTTCCTTTAATCTTCAATCAACATTAAACTATTCATAAACATGATAAATATCGTTAAATGAGGCAATACACAAAATAAAATGATGAAAAATATTCACATTAATGTTTTCCTCTTGTTTGATTTCAGTTCTTTGTATTTCACAATTTGTGTCTGTATTTTCTGGACAATGATGCACAAATAATGCATTTTGCAAATTTATTATATAGTGTACAAAGAGAGTTTTAAAAACAAATAATTAGATAAATATATTATTGTTCTAAAACAGAAGTAAAATAATTAAGATTCAGCATATCAAAGAATCAAAAGAATCAAAAGAATTCAATTTTTGATGAAATCAAACAAAGTTTAGTTTTGGACCCTTTTGACATCAATGTGGACCAATTTGTTAACGGGGTCCAAAAATCAAAATACATGGTTAGATTCAGCATATCAAAGAACCCCATATATTCAATTTTTGTTAAAATCAAACTAAGTTTAATTTTGGACCCTTTGGACCTTAATGTAGACCAATTTAAAAAACGGGACCCAAAATTAAAAATCTAAATAATGGTTAGAATCAGCGTATCAAAGAACCCCATATATTCAATTTTTGATGAAATCAAACAAAGTTTAATTTTGGACCCCAATTTGGACCAACTTGAAAACTGGGCCCAAAATCAAAAATCAAAATACATGTTTAGATTCAACATATCAAAGAACCCCTAAGAATTCAATTTTTGTTAAAATCAAAGTAAGTTTAATTTTGGACACTTTGGACCTTAATGAAGACCAATTTGAAAACTGGACCCAAAATTAAAAATCTAAATACACAGTTAGATTCGGCATATCAAAGAAATAAATGTGGTCAAAGATTTTACAAATCTAATGTGCCATACTGTGCAATTAAAGATTACTTCTTGATATTTTTCAATATTTTTTTAACTGTTTAATAAATATTGGAAAACCCCCCTTTCAAACTTTTTGAATCTCTCTTGGATCATTAACTATCAAACTCAACTCCTTTGCAACCATAACAGCCCATTTAAATACATCATAAAGGTATTAAAATAGAAAATGACATCATAGTCATGGCTAGAAATAAACAAAAAACCTTAATCAGCAACATTTTACAGTAATATCTAAAAATAAAATTCCTTTGTAACCATAAAAGCCCATTTAAATACATCATAAAGGTATTAAAATAGAAAATGACATCATAGTCACAGCTAAAAATAAACAAAAAACCTTCATCAGCAATATTTTATATTGGCAAATTTCCAACGAAGTTTATTATACTAAAGTTATTGGCAAATTTCCAATGGAATTTATTAACAATAAAGTCAGTCAGGGGTACTACTTGTACAAGTAATTTTTATTTACTTGAAGAAGTAAATAAAATATACTTATACAAGTTAATTATATTGTTTGAATAATCTCCCCTTAATTTTCTAAAAAATTTACTTGTATAAGTAAATTTTTTTACAATCCCACAAAAATTCTCAAGTTTTGAGATGTAAAATCATGCCTTTAATAATTTTCCTCAGGTTAGCTCATAATTTTTGATAAGAGTTCAATGTTTCATCTCATTAATTCAACAAAGAAACTGATTGAGCAAAGATCTTAAGTATTTGCGCAAGGCCTTCAAAAATTGCTCCTTGGGGGCTTGTAAATGAGCAGTGTTCTAAAGATAAAAGACAAATGAGATTTTCATTGTCCATGAAATTACACTTAAATGAATAGTAAAGACATCTGCAAAGGACAGACAATTCAAAATTCTGTTAGAGCAAAGAAGTTCTAAGAATTCAAGAAAAGAAGATAGGATGACTTTTTTACTTGTATAAGTAAAAAAATCTGAACGCCTAAGGGACATAACTAGGCCAAAAAACAATTTACTTATACAAGTAAATAAAATACACTTGTATAAGTATCCTACAAATTTACTTATATAAGTATATTATAATTACTTCTTCAAGTAAATAAAAATTACTTGTACAAGTAGTACCCCTGACTGAAAGTTATTGGCAAATTTCCAATGAAATTTATTAACAATAAAGTTGTTGGCAAATTTCCAATATACATAATTTAAAAGCAGTGTAGGTGAGATATTCAAATGAGTTTGAATTACCAACCTTACACTGCTTTTAAATTATGTTTTGTACTTAAGTAATTGTCTATTAACCTGGAAACCCTTGTTTTCCCCCTTATTCTTTAAAGGTTTGAGCCATAACCCCCCAATGCCATTTCTTACTTTCCAATGGAGTTTAATATACTAAAATTATTGGCAAATTTCCAATGGAATTTATTATAATAAAATTATTGGCAAATTTCCAATATACATGATATACATAATTTAAAAGCAGTGTAGGTGAGATATTCAAATGAGTTTGAATTACCAACCTTACACTGCTTTTAAATTATGTTTTGTACTTAAGTAATTGTCCATTAACCTGGAAACCCTTGTTTTTCCCCCTTTTTTGCCCCTTATTCCTTAACAGTTTGAGCCATAACACCCCAAAGACAATTCTTACCATCCCTTTTGGTATGGAAACTTGTGGTATAATTTCAGAGAGATCCATACACCATTCCACAAGTTATTGTCTGAAAACTAGAAAAATGCTTATTTGTGCCCTTTTTTGGCCCCACATTCCTGTTGGGACCAAACTCTCAGCATATCAAAGTACCCCCATGATTCAATTTTTAATGAAATCAAACAAAGTTTAATTTTGGACCCTTCACATGCCCTTCAAACCTCAATGTGGATAAATTTAAAAACAAGGCCCAAAATCCAAAAATCTAAATACACGGTTTGATTCAGCATATCAAAGAACCCCATATATTCAATTTTTGTTGAAATCAAACAAAGTGTAATTTTGGACCCCAATTTGGACCAACTTGAAAACTGGGCCCATAATCAAAAACCTAAATACATGTTTAGATTCAGCATATCAAAGAACCCCAAGAATTCAATATTCTGTTAAAATCAAAATAAGTTTAATTTTGGACCTTAATGTAGACCAATTTGAAAACGGGACCAAAAATTAAGAATCTAAATACACGGTAAGATTCAGCATATCAAATTTTTGATGAAATCAAACCATATCATTATTATTTGCTTTTATATATTAATCAGAAATAACCAACTTAAAATGGAAAATTTTAAAGAAAAAAAAAAAGAAAAAAAGGAAAAAAAAATCCCCACCCCCCAATTTTTTGAACCTTCCTATGATTCATCACCCCCAAACTCAATCCCAGCCTTCCCTTTGTGGTATGGTACCTTGCAGTACAATTTCAGAGAGATCCATACACTTGAACACAAGTTATTGTCTGGAAACTAGAAAAATGCTTGTTTTTTGGCCCCAAATTCCTTAATGTTTAGGGCAATTACCCCCAAACTCAAACCCAGCTTTCCCTTTGTGATATGGAACCTTGTTATACAATTTCATAAAGATCCATACACTTACACACAAGTTATTGTCCTGAAAATAGAAAAATGCTTGTTTTTTGCCCCTTATTCCTAAAATTTTGAGGCAATTACCCCCAAGAGTTGGCAGACCTTTATTCAGTGGGATTTTAACCTTTTTCATAAGTGGGGCGATTTGGCAGACCTATATTCAACGGGATTTTACCTTTTTTCATAAGTGGGGCGAGTTGTCATGGATTCTCATTTACCCTGTATTGCATAGCTAAACCGGTATTTGCCGTTTAAGAATCTAACGCATTATGGGTAATATTTTCAAAAGCGTACACCAAAATGTTGTGATTGGTGTAAAACGTTCTAAACAATGGAAATTCAACCAATGACCTAACGTTATTTTCAATTTGGTGTACGAACAATGAGATTACCCATAGTACTTTAGATTTCTGAAAAGGTGAATTGCATACCGGGCATGACATCATTCGATGTTGGACATATGACGTCCAGTTGCTGTACTTCCTGGCATGATACTAAATGTAACCACATTAATTAGAATTTCAGAAATATACTTGCAAAAGAAAATGGGTCATTTATGACACTGATTCAGACTAGAAATTTTCATTTTGGAAAATGATCAAAAGACCCATTCTCTCTTCACAAGTATTTTGTTTAAAAGTACATGTATGTGTGTTAACTTTGGTTCAATCGAAATGAGGAATCTATAAATTACTATTCTATAGCATTTGTATTAATTAGCAATACTTCATGTATGTGCATTGATACTTTTCTTAATCAAAATGATCAAGGGTTTTAATAGCAATGTTCACTTCAAAATCCCAATTATTTTGAATAATGCAAATATTAAAAGTGGTGTTCAAACGAATTACATACATGTACATGTATCAATATGAGGTTCCAAATGAGAAAAAAGAAATTTATAAATTACATTCAGCCAGAAGAGGGTAGAAAAGAAATTGTGACACCAAATACTTTCAAAACAAAATGAGTCATTTATGACAGATGAGGACTAGAAATTCTAATGATGGATTACTTTTACAAATGACCAGATTTCTCTTTTGATACAAGTATTAAACCTGATGTAGTAGTTATTTTTTTTTTTTTTTTGTTGTTGCTGTAATATGATCCTTGATGTAATATTATTATTTTGTCAGATTAAAAATAAAATGGTGTTATCTGAAATTTTATTCATTAGTATCAGCTTCAGAATTTCATCTCAGCACTCAGAGTAAATTTTGTAGTGTAAAAACAGCCATTTTAGCAAAAGGGTCCACATGAAACTTAAGAAATTGTTAGAGACAAGTGTTGAAGTGAAAGTGCGCTGTGGTTAGCAATACATTATTATTCCATTCAATTCTTTCCAGTATGTTTCTTGATAAATCCGCTTAAAAAGAAGGAAGGACAGATACCTTTTGGAACTCTGTTCATATTTTGGTTTAGAAATGAATGATGACAACAAATTTTTCAGTTTTTTGTCGGGTGTTGCAGTGTCGATAGTCTCCATTTTGAAAATAAATATGTATAGAGAATCTACAACGAAAATAATTGGACGAAGTCAGCCAATCGACAGATGTTTGACAAAACTTTATTTATAACATACCGAACAAGTCCGACAAGTTTGCGGGAAAATATCCATCGATCACACCAAGGGCGTGTTTTTTTGTTCTTCGGTAGTGAGCCAGAAGAGGTCCATTTCTGTTTTTTTGAATAGGGAAGATCTTCTGGCTCTCTTCCACCTCTTCTTTTTTGATAGGTAGTTTAGACGGCAGAGTCACATAACAAATATGGCGTCGTTTAGTCTAAATGACATTAATAAATTTGTGAATTAGAATGTGAGCTGTGTTATATTAGAATGTGAGCTGTGAGCTGTGTTATATTAGAATGTGAGCTGTGTTATAAACTTTTTTATGGTATGACAGTCTTAGCAGGACATCCCTGTAGGACGATAAGCTGGATAAATATAAGAACTACACGGACAATAACAGTTAAGGGACGACTATTTGATATTCTAGGGAAGGGATTTTGATTGATTGGTGTTTAACGCTAATTTCAACACTAAGTTGGGCTATTCCGTGGTGGTCAGTTTAAATTTATAGATGAAGGATGGGGAAGGGAAGAGGGCATTATTAACTTTTTTAATCTGTCGCTAATTATGCCTATTTTTCAGCTCTTACCAGGCAACCATATTCATATATGAAATCCTCCTGTCCCGGCCCCACCCCAATAAATGAATAAATATCAAATAGTTTTTCTTCTTATTTAACACAAGTTTAAATTGATTGATTGTTTGTTGCTAATTTTTAACGCCCAGTGAAAAATATGTCATGCATGTTTAGGACTCGGTTCAGGAAAACACGAGTTTAAAAGTCAGGTATATAATATAAAAACGAAGAGATGTATGATTGCTAATGAGGCAACTATCCACCGGAGTTCAAATATGAAGTGGATGTAAGCAATTATAGGCAACCGTAATTAAGGCCTTCAACAATGACAAAACCCGATACTGTATTAAAAGTCGTCTATAAAAGGCCCGACGTGAAAAGTGTGAGAAACAATTCAAACGAAAAAACTAACGGCCTAATTATACATAACAAAATAATTTACAAAATATCAAATATGAGTGGAGGCATAAACCAACGACAACCACTAAACTACAGGCTCCTGACTTGGGACAGGCACACAAAGAACATGGCAGGGTTGATATAAAAACGAAGATTGCCAATGAGACAACCTTCCACAAGAGACCAAATGACACAGCAATTAACAGCTATAGGTCACCGTACGGCCTTCAACAATAAGCAAAGCGAATACCGCATAGTCAGCTATAAAAGGCCCCGAAATCACAAATGTAAAACAATTCAAACGAGAAAACTAACGGTCTAATTAATGTACAAAAAATGAACAAAAAACAAATATGTAACACAGCAACAAACGACAACCACTAAATAACAGGCTCCTGACTTGGGACAGGCACATGACATACAGAATGTGGCGGGGTTAAACATGTTAGCGGGATCCGGCCCAAGCCGCCCCCCCCCCCCCCCCCCCATAACGTGGGACAGTGGTGTAACAGTACAAGAACATGTTTGTGAGCGCTCAACCCTTCCCGAAAGCTGGGACATTGGTGTAACAGTACAATATAAGAACAACCTGCACAAATCAATTGCAATTAGATTAACTCAAAAGATCGGTACGAGACACACACAAAAAAACTTACATATAGACAATAGACACAAAGCACCGAAATAAGAGTATTTGCAATTACTGGAAGTTTGTTCAATAATAATAATCTTTTATTCGTAAGCAATACAACTTATAGAATATAAATATTACAAATATTCAATTACATCAGTGAAATATATTTACATTTAAACAATTAGTCAAATAATCATATCAGTAAGTATACCCATATAACAGTACAGCAGAGTATGATAAAATATAACACATATTAAGCATTTATAAATGAAGTTAATTACGTGCCTTCTCGGCCAGAAATAAAAACTTCCCTAAATTGTTAAGTTCCTTTACATTATGAACAGATAGCAGTTGTACGAGTTTAAAATTCGAAGGTTTTCTCCAATAATATGGTTTGATAAATTTCTTTCGAAGTTCATTATACTTTTCACATACTAAAATAAAATGATATTCATCTTCAATAACTTGTTTATCACACATATTACAAAGTCTCAGATGTCTCTCAATATTATAAAATCGACCAGTTTCTATATTCAAACAGTGAGCAGATATGCGGTATTTACAAATAAATGGTTTATAAATATAATTTACAGCATGATCTAAATAAAATTGTAACATGTTGGGATCAAATACATATCTATACAACATACATTTTGGCGAATCTTCAAAAAATGAGTTCATTTCACTATGAAATCTACCCTTTACTCTATCTTTGAATTCAATTAAAAACAAATCCACATTATTAACACCCTGATGTAACCATACATCCTGGAACCCATACATGTATAATATGTCTCTAATTCGACAGGCCCAGTTATATTTGTCGTTTGGTTTTTTATTACATCTCTCAAGCATATCTTCATAACAGCATTTAAGAATACAGTTATCAGTACATAATAACTTAAACCAATATTTTAATTAACATTCGACAATATCTTTCTATAAACATAGGGTATCGTCCCAGCTCACAATAAACCATATAATTAACAGTAGATGCTTTCACCTTTAATATACGTTTTAAGAATTTCATTTGAACTTGTTCGATATCATCACATTTGTGATTTCCCCAAACTTCACAACTATAATTCAAAATACTTGCTACATACGTGTCAAACAATGACAGCATAGTTTCAAAATTAAAACAGTCATCCTGCAATTTACTATACAAACTAAATAATGCTTTACGACCTTGGTTTGCTAATGATTTTTGGGTATATGTAAAATAACCATTATATCTAAATAAAATACCCAGATATACAAATTCATCACACATATCTATTGAATTTCCATTTAAATACCATCTCTCATTTGCTTTAACTTGACCTCTGTTTCTGAATACAACAATTTTTGTTTTTAAGCAATTAATAAATAAATTGTACTTATTAGAATAGACATTTAAACAATTAATCATCTTTTGTAAATCTTCAATATTTTCGCTGAACAATACAAAGCTAATAACAACTAGTACTGAAATAAATCTTGTTCTCCCAGACTGAAGTATCAATTAGTACACAACCAACGGATTTATTAAAAAAAAAAAGAAAAAAAAAACCAGTCTGAGAAATGTCTGGTATACATTGTATACTTGCATATGGGTCTCACTAATTAGCGACAAGAAGCGACAAGAAGCGTCAAGAAGCGACAAGAAGAATAATTTTAGCGACAAGAAGACTATTTAGCGACAAGAAAACATTTTTTTTATTAAGATTACTTTTTCCAAATAAATATTAAAAAATATGCATTTGATTTTTTTTTAATATATGGGCAGGAATAAATTGATATTTTTTTTTTATTATTGATAGATGAAGAAATTAAACATTTGTGAGGAAGAAAGGGATTGTGTAGTTTTTTTTATTATATTGATAGATAATATGCATTTATCGAAGATCGAGTCGTAACCTTTTTTCCCTTGCCCAAAGGGAAATCGAAACCCTGTACCAAAGGGTTTGTTTGATACTGCGCAGTACCAAAGACGTACAAAATATACTGATTTATTAATCAAAGGTAAACCAAGATGCGTTTCGGATTCTAGCAATTTCACAGAGCACGTACTTTTGCAAGAATAAGACTGAAATGCTGACAATTTACTTTATACAAAACATAAAAGTTGAATGGCTTCAGTCAGCTAGAGCAAAGGAAATGCACACGCTATAAAATAGAAATAAAAACAAAGATTTTTCAACTTTCCTTTGAAGAATTTATTGAAACAAAAACATGAAATATTATTTCCTTTCTAACAGTACAATTCATTGTTCTTGATAGGAACAACATTAGATGTGGCTTCACCCTAATGTAATAACATAACACACAATGTGAAACATCAAATGAGATTAACGAGGCGCGTGTCCCTTGTTTTATTGCTACAATAACATCCAATTAACACCTTCAACTTTGTACACGCGTCAGACTATACAATAACACGCGCCAGAATATACAATCATTGTAAATACAGTGAACACCTGTTGAAAACTCAAGATTGTCATTAATTTCCTTTAATCTTCAATCAACATTAAACTATTCATAAACATGATAAATATCGTTAAATGAGGCAATACACAAAATAAAATGATGAAAAATATTCACATTAATGTTTTCCTCTTGTTTGATTTCAGTTCTTTGTATTTCACAATTTGTGTCTGTATTTTCTGGACAATGATGCACAAATAATGCATTTTGCAAATTTATTATATAGTGTACAAAGAGAGTTTTAAAAACAAATAATTAGATAAATATATTATTGTTCTAAAACAGAAGTAAAATAATTAACGACAGGGTAAACGTAATACTTGCTGTTGTACATAATAAATAATAAAATATCATAAATAAGTGTAGCAATTAGATCTATGTTTCAAATTTTTTTCTATCTATTTATTGATAGAATATTAACTTTCTTGTCGCTAAAATTGTTTTCTTTTGCATATTCTTTTAATATTTATTTGGAATAAGTAATTTTAATAAAAAAAAAATATTTTCTTGTCGCTAGATAGTCTTCTTGTCGCTTCTTGTCGATTCTTGTCGCTAAAATTAATCTTCTTGTCGCTTCTTGACGCTTCTTGTCGCTATAAAATTCTTCTTGTCGCTAATAAGTGAGACCGCTTGCATATTGATACATATACAATGAAAATGTTTGAAAAGTGGTGGTCCGAAGGTTTTGACCATCGAAATTTTGCAATAGAAATAATACTTAGGACCAGAAGATTTTCTTCAAGGACCACCAGAGAAAAATGATTTCGAGAACTTTCCGATATCTTTGCTTTATACAAAAATAATCCAGTTTACTTACTTTAAAAAAAAATGGATAGACAAGATGTCCTTTT